TTTTGATTTGCGCTTTAAGGTTGTTGTTGATAGCGTAATTGTGCTTGAATTTGTGGTTGATAAACCTGTTGCTTGGTTAGAATTATAAAAAGTAAGTTCATAGGAGATGGGTCATTGAACTTTTGACGGGTTTGATCCTTATGTAAGCTCCATCGGGCTCTTGAAAAGAATCAGGGAACAGAGTTGAATTGGTTGAAAGTCTCTAAGAAGGGAAGCCACTTCAACAAGTTTTAACTCTCTTCCCTCTCATTCTCTTGAAGATCGACAGATAGTTAAATTCTGTTTTGATTATGTAATTTTATTGATGCGAAACATCATGAACTTAGTTTCTTTTATGGCTTGTTTTCCACTGATCTCTTGCAAAGCATTGCTAGAATTGGTTCCGGGGTTTTTGTCACTAGGCCTTGGTTGAGCTGGTAAAATGTGGGTGAATCCTAGTTTTGATTTCAATAATCAGAAAAGTTATTTGGAAATCCAGTTGGCTGTCATCACTTAACTGTAGTGCAAAAAGTATGTGTATTAGTTTGAAATTTACAGTTAACAAATTTCCTACAAGTTTCATTAATGCCATGTTATTTCATCGTACCACACTAAATTGTTTGTTGCATCACATAACTGATACAGACCCTAAATCAGCAACAACCGTGTATAGCATAGACAATAATCCTGGACGATCGAAGAATTAAATTGTTTTGATGGTGTTCAAGGGACTGTGATGCTGGTATGCTATTGATAGTAGTGGTGCTCACTGTATTGATGGTGATTATATAATAGTATTGTTGGAAACTGGAAAGTGGTGGTGGGGCAGTTATGTGATGATTATAATATTGGAAAGCAACAACATGCCATACCCAACTATCAGTTTTCCATCCCAACTTATTATTTCTATTTCTGATCTCGGTCCTCTGCATTTTGCACTTGGTTCTCAGCATTCTTAATTCATTCAAGAATAGGACTCCCAAAAGAGTAATACAAACTTAAACTACTTTGGCTTGAAAATACCATTATTTCCATAAGATGTGTGCCCTTTGCAATTAAATAGTCTCTCAGAAAATGATGCCTGTAAAAAGATGTACCTTTTTTCCCCTTCTTGAGGTTAGTTGTCAGGGTATTGATAAATTTTGTTAACTAAATGCAAGTTTAGTCAATAGGTTTTTCCTTTACTAAGTGCAGGGGAATTGGTGGCAATGAAGAAGAGAACCTGCAAATTCATTTGCACTAGCTAATTGAATCTACACTGACTGCTAAATATACTCATATTTTTGCTTATTAGTTTCAAGGTTGACTGAAATCTCCAAATTCTGATTTTGTATCCATTTCTTATGCAGGTTCATATATTTATTTATTGCTGTAGGAGTGATTCTCTTTGTCATCTCTTGTTTTGGTTGTGTTGGAGCTGCAACACGGAATGGATGCTGCTTGACTTGTGTATCCTAATTACACATTTATTTTAAACTCATCAGTAACTAGTTATGCCTAACAACCATTTTTTGATGCAACAACAATTACCTGCTGGAAAGATAGCTGCATAAGATGCACTGTTTCTTTTTCTTTGGTTCTTGGCAAGTAAAATAGCATTGGAAGTGATCTGTCTGTATCTCTCAGACCCATTAAGAGTGTCTTCCATTCTCTTTTCACTGAAAGGTAAAAGCAGCATTATGATTTTGTTTCTTAACTAACGTACAAAGAGATTGGAAAACATTTGCTGCTTTAATTCTGTTTTGTTTCTTTTGGCGTGTTTTGCAGCTGCATGTGTCATTCTCTTGCTTTTCTCATCTCTTCTATCTCATTTAAATCTCTTTTTTTTAAAATGTCATCTTTTAGTTTCCCTTGTGAATGCTACAGTAGTTGTTAGTTTGCATAATTGTAGAGTGGACAACTTTTCAATAAATTAAATCCTAAATATTAAGCTTATCCAGAGGTCACATGTTTGAGGAATAGTTTGTACGATCTCCGTGTTTCTGGTTTATGAATATGATGATTGGTTTCCTTAAACCAAAATAGTATTCAGTGTTGATCATCTTGTTGATATTGGTAGAGTTGGGATGTGCAGCCTTCATATTCTTTGACAAAAGCTGGAAAGAAGTGAGCCTTTTACTTAACTGATTTTTAGAATTTTAAGGCGCTTTAGTAATCTAAATTTGTGGTATTATTTTTGTCCTTCAGGTACTCCCAACTGACAAAAGTGGTGATTTTGACATGATATATAAATTCCTCAAAGAAAACTGGAACATTGTCAAATGGGTTGCTCTTGGAATAGTTGTTTTGGAGGTGAGCATGAAATGTCACCTTTTGTTTTTGTGAGGGTTTGGTACTTTCCAGAGAGACAGAATCAGAAACTGGGCAGCAGGTTCTGTGATGTTAACATTTTTATGAATTTCTTACACAAGATTGGGTTGAGAGAAAGTTAAAAACTGCATGATACAGTTATCTTCCCTCTTGTGTTCATGTGCTAACCATGTCCCAAAGCATCTTTGCTCTCTATTTATGACTCTGTTTATATATGTGCTCAATTTATTTTGAAGTTAAAGCATGATGGCTTTCTTTAGTTAATGGATGCAAAGTATTGATGGCAAATCAGTCACTTGAACTAATGCCATGAACTTTTCTTTTGCTATTGAAATAAATAATTTTTTTTTTAAACAAACATAGTTTAAGAAAATCAGATTTCAGGTAAGGAATATTGAAACAGCAAAAAAATTCAAGAGAATCTAGTATCGAGGGGCAGTTTGTGTTTGGAGTTTCCGTGGAGGTTGAAAGATTCTTATGGACATTTGTATGTGAAAGTGCACTTAATTCTCTACGACATTTCCCTCCACTGAAAATGAATGCTCCATATTTTCATGAACCATATAATTATCTATTGGTAAGACTGGGATTGAATTTTTCAAGACTATGAACTGGGAGATGGTGTTTGATGTATCTGTTTCTGTATCATTTTGAACTCTCTCTCTCCCACTCTAAAATAATCAAAGAGCTTCTTAATAGCTTGTTTACAATGAATCATTGTGTCATTGCAGGCTTTGATTTTCTTGTTAACCCTTGTGGTCAGAGCAGCAAACAGGCCTGTAGAGTATGATAGTGATGACGAGTTCATTGCCTCTAGACAACAGACCCGGCAGCCTTTGCTTAACAGGCCACCAGCACCCGCAGCAGGAGTGCCTGTTACTGGAACCCTTGATCAGCGTCCAGGCAGAAATGATGCTTGGAGTACAAGAATGAGGGAAAAGGTTTGACTTTCCTGAAATTTAGTTTAGTGAAAGTTTGATTCTCCATCTGGTAATATTGCATGTTTCTATTGCCGTTAGCCATATAGGTCATTCTGTTTAGAGACACCATTTAATGTGATATGTGTTGGCAAAGTTCTACACTATAGCTGGATTTTCTTGAAGCATTGGGAATTCAGTTTTGTGACCTTTTGAGTAAAATTACAACAATCCTAGACTATAAGAGAACTATTAAACATCAGTTACACCTTGATCCTGTGTTTTATTGCATTGGTTGTGATGTGTTTGCTGCAGACATGGAGTATAAACAAGCACATCTTCATGTTCCGTAATCATCTTGATTCTTGAATGTTCAGATCATTTTCGTGGTTTAACATTTGGGTTGTTTTTTAGCAGTGCCATTATGTATCAATGGTAAATCCCATCATCTTGTTTTTTTTTTTCCCCTTCTAGTAGCGTCATTATGTATCTATGGTAATTCATCATCTTGGTTTTGCATAAAGTACTTGTAGTTTTGATGTCTTTTTTTTATCACTTGTACATATGTTATGTATCTATCAATCTGTCTTTGCTTTCTGGCGCGTATTCTGATTCTACTGCTGTTCTTTGCTGCATGAAAACAAGTATGGGCTTGATACATCAGAGTTCTCATACAACCCATCCGAGCCACACAGGCTCCAGCCAGCATCTGCACAGCCTACCGAGGAAAGGAGTCGTTGCACCATCATGTGATGACTTCTTGGATCTTGCCGAGTTGGTTTCTGCAGGCCATTTTCCTGGACAAGGGTGTGAGAGTTTTGTATGAGTTTGTGTACAATAAACATCCTTCAGGAGTTCCTATATCACAGCCTTTCCCACTTGTTGGTATCTTCAAAAGTTTTGATCTAGCAATCTACTGAAACCAGGTCTAATAAAGACATGATTTTTGAGATGTCAGCACTAGTTTCCTTCCATTTCCCTCTATTTATTGAACTGTTCGTGCCCTGAGAGATGTATGATCTACCTTAATAGTTTGTCTTAAAATTTTGGAGTATAATTCCCAGTACATCTAATATATATATATATATATATGTTTTTTGAAGAAGAACCCGACTGGAAATCTCTTGTGCGCGCTGAAACCTGGGTTGGGGAGAAGGGTGTCTGGTCAAGGGTTTAAATTTTTTAGACAAGGGTCGGGAATTCAAGAAATCTTGGGCAGTGTTTGTAATTTCGAAATACTTGAAGGAGGTTCACGCAATATGTCCGTACGGTAATAACAAGTTGGTCCATCGAAATTAAAATCATTAATTATATATATTAGGGGTGAGACAACGGTTATTAAATAACTCGACTTAAACTTCGAAGTCACCATTTTACTGATTCATAATTTCATCAGCGGCCACCCTCCCTCACTCTCCCTCTATAGCGCTCTATCTTGAAACAGTTGCAAGATATTGGCCTTGCTGTTGCTTTCTACTTGAAGAATGCCCATTTCCTGTTCATTTTTAACCATCTTGATCGGCAAGTGATGACTTTATCCTTCACTTAATTTACATCCAAAAAGGAAGATAATAGTTGGTATGATTATCAAATGGATTTCTAGAATCATATTCCTTGCTTGTGATTTGGGTTATTGGAATCTTCTTGTAAGGTACATGGAAGGTAAGTCAATGGAATTTTGTGCTAACAGGTCTTCATTGATTTATTTACTTACTGTTTTTTTCCAGAGGGAGTAGATAAAGCTATTGGAATATTGACCTTGACTTAGTTTTTATAAGATTAATGGTAGTAGCAAGAGTATTTGTCGTTAGCAAACATGGAGGATCAGAGGACAGATTGTTCCAGCATTATTTCTGATATGGGCGCAAAGGGTCTCGCTTGCCATTTTCAGTTTGAAGAAGGGTCGTCTCAGTTTGTTTTTCTAGACATTGACAAAGAAACAGGAGGCGCCAGTATCAACAACTCCCTTAGTTTCTCCACCAGCACTTATCTGCATTTTATCTCTTCATCTAACGGTTTGCTTTTATTGTCTAGTTTTGGGGAGAATCAGCTCAACTATCATGTATTCAATCCCTTTACCAGGCTGTCTGTGACTCTTCCACCGCATGGTATTACCGGGCAAGTCATCAGGTCAGGTCTCGCTTTTGATGGAAAACAGTATCAGGTTGTGCTTGTACATGCTTTCAAAGATGAAGAGAATGGCTTGGGCCCGGATGTTATTGAACTGGAAATCTTCTCTTCCGAAACTGGGGCTTGGAGAAAGCAACCCTTCAGATTGTCTTTGAATGTTGAAGTACCTGTCTGTGACTTTCCTCAGTTGAACGCAACCCCACTTTTTTCCAATGGAGCTATTCATTGGGAAATAAGTGGACGGTTGCTTGTTTATCATGTTAAAGATGATTACTGTGAAGTAATTGAACTGCCAAATGTTTTTGAAGATTGGTCCTGGCAATCAACAATGACTTACAGGCGATGCTTGTGGGAATCTGAGGGGAGAGTACACTACACTTACACTGATTTTGATGGGGTTCATACCTGGAACCTCCTCAAGGAATATGAGCATGATGTTTACTTGCACAATAATGTCTATGACAGCGAAAAATTCAGGTGGGCATTAGTATATACTATCGATCATAAAGAGTTGGCAAAACAGGATCCTGATATTCTCCATCTTGGTAATCAGTGGGAGCCTCACAACATATCTCCTTTTGCTTATGTTGAAGATTCCGAGACCATGTACTTGCAGCTTCCAGGAATTGTTGTAGCATACAATACCAAAAATCGAGTTTTGCAGAAAGTATGCAGGTACAAATTTCCAGGCATCGATTTCAATTGCTGTTTTTTCTTCCCCTTCATCCACAGCAACGAGTGCCACCAGAGAAATGCAAGTAAATCACTACAAGCTAGAGAAGTGGTTGATTTACCTATAGAAAAAGAGGTGAATTCGTTTTCGTTTTAAGTGGAGTTTTATTGTACTAGCATTCCGCTTCTCGTATAGCTTCTTGCATCTTAAATTCAATTTGATTTCCAGCTAATTGTATCTGGTCTTAGCTCTATTTGTCTCTTAATTATGTGTTTCTGGGCTTCTTTTTCGTATGAGATTTGTGAGTCTCATATCAGTGAGGAGCATTATTTATCATCTAGTTTTAAAACTTGATAAAAGATTCCAAATCTGGCTTAAGGGCTTCACTATAGACATTGGAAGATCAAATATTCATTTCCCAGATAAAGGTTTTATAGAGATAGCTGCAAAACAAGTGTCCAGATGGCCCTCATGGTATAAATGTCCATTAGTTTTGCTGGCTTGAAGTAAAATACGACTTACTTGTAAGATAATCGCAGAAACAAATAAATCACAAGTATGCTACGCAGAGAGAATTGCAAGTTTTAATGAGCTTGCCTCGCATCTTAGACATTTTACTTGTATCTGTGGCAAAGCTAGTGACAACTTGACTAGAGCAAAAGATATGGAAGGAAGATGTATAGAGATTCCTCTCTCCAGGGATCTAATTCTGCTTTCGGAGCCATTCCCGTTCCCTGCAAGCACAATTTCTGTTTTTGTAGGGCAGAAAGACGAACAGGGACCTCTGTCCCTCAATAATCACACATATTCAAAAAGTTTAGCTTGCTGATGAGCTCGAGGATAAGATGCTATTAGGTGGTTTGACACATTAGAACAACATGGCAGAACCACCGAAACCATCTTTAAGGTTTGGTAGGTTGTCTGAATCATCAAGTTCTTCTGCAGCATCTTTTCAAGTTCCGTTCTATCTAGATCAGTATTTTTCCAAGCCCTATTAATTTTTGTTAATATTAATATTATAACATGTTTTTAAGAAATCATTAAAACCTAAAAAATAAGTTAATCCCGTTTTTCTATTATTTTCATAGTCATTAACCATATAAAATCCTAAATAACGTCAAATAACCCTCTTAAATCACTCATGACCTATGCAGTGCATCATTATGCACTTTATTTTGCCTATGAAAACTCTAAAAATGCTTTAAAAAGCCCAAAGAACCAATAATATCAAAAAATAAATAAAACTACATTAAAGTTCAAATTATTATATTGGATTCTAACTTTTTATGGGATTTGTTTTTTTGTTATTGTCTTATGTTATTTCTTAATCATTTGAAGAAATTATCTATAATATTCGTGCTATTCTTTTTAACAAATTCTGTTGATTCAATACAGTGTCTGTGTCCTGTGTGATTATACGTATTCTTTATTGTTCATTGGAATGATAATAGAAGAAACCAATCTGATTTCTTGTGCTAATTTTGTAATTTCTCTAAATCATCAAAGAAGAAAGAACGATGCAGAGTTTTCTGTATCATGTTGCTTCCCTGTTCGCCATCAGGTTACTTGAGCCTCATAAATTATTGTGAGCACATTCATGTGTCTAGAAATCAACCCAAATTTCGGTCCTGTTCATCAATCACCCTTCGTGTTTAAAATGGTTCAATGGGGAAGGAGAAGGTCAACGTATAATCGATTGATATGTGCGAAGGCTTCATAATCTGCAGACGCTTGTTGATTTTAAGCCTGGTCTACTGATGCTTAGATACTGAAAGATTGAACGGGACTCTCTTGTTCGCTGTGTTCTTGCTAGCTTTGCATCTCAATGGATGCCTTTTTTTTTTTTTTATTTGGCAGCAAGCAAGGCTCAATTTCTGCTGGCTAACCAATGAAGGTACTCTTTATAAGGGTGGCAGACAATTCTTCAAATTTTAATACCATCACAACGCTGATGCGGTTCCAAGAGGGTAATTCGAAACCTTGGCATTTTAGTGTGTGCTAAATAAATACATAGAAAAAAAAATCAACTTTTCAAGTAATTTAATATTAAATAATAAAATAAAATATTATTTTAAAAAAATCCAAAAAAACTAGAATTAATTAGGTAAAATGGTAAATTTTATAATCTAACTTATAAGATTATAATAATTTTATGAAAAATTAAAAAAATAAAATTTATTTTTTAATTAATTTAATGTTAAAGGATAAAATTAAAAAATAATTCTTATTAACTTAGGTTTACTGAGTTATAAAACTAGAATAATTTTATAAAAAATAATTTAAAATAAATTATAAATTATTAAAAAATAAAAAAAAATTAAATTTCAACTTTAAAAATACAAAAAACACAAGAATAAAATTGAAAAAAAATCTAAAACATTTCATTATTATTTATTGCTAGAGGGAAATAGTAAAACGCCAAAGCCTTCGAGTACATGGTAGCAATAATAATAATAATAATAATAATAATTAATGTCGTTGGACAAATGACATGGAAGCTACTGAAGCTGGCTAGTGGGCACACCTCATTCCTAGTCATGTTTTTTGGTTTGATGCTAGCCTTTAAGGAAGGTGCTGACTGCTGCGCCTTATAGACCTCAAACAATTGACCACTGATGTGTACTGCTAGACTCCGATATTTTAGTGCCAGAAAGCTGTATCACCGGTGGCCATTTTATTTCCTTTTCCTTTCGCTCTCTCTTGAGATCAGTGGTAGCCCTTTGATTTACAGCTCTAGATGACGATTTCGATTTGTTGTCCAAGAGCACAAGTAGGTAATGAAAGCAACTGTTCTGTCTTCAACCTGTTCTTATTTTCATCCCTATCGCTCTCCTAACCTCTCATCACTGTCTATGAAAATGCTCAAACAGCTGGGGAATTCTTTTTGGATGGTAAGGTAATTCTCCTTCGTGTTTGTGGCTACATTAATAAGCTATTTTTATTTTTATTTCTCGTGAAAGGGTGTTTTGTTCTAGTTTATTTGATTGTATCTTAATTTTCCCATAAACCAATATCTGATTACAAATTTAAATTAACAGCTCCATGCGAGAGAAAAAAGGAAGAAGATTAATTTTTTTTTTTTTAATATCTTGTTGCATTTTATTTAACAATGTTCTATTTGCCGAGTTAGACGAGGGGTAATGCCAGCAAAATAAAGAGTCCTTTTCGACGGGAAACGAGATAGGGTCTGGCCGTGCATGGATTTACGTAGCAACAAAAACAAATGGAAATTAGGGACCATCAAGATTTTTAAAAAAGAAAGGGAAAATGGAATGAAACAGGGATACCACCTTCTCTGAACTGAGATCTAGACTTTGATATAAGCATCTTGACACACAGACTAGGAATCTGTCCGCGGGCTATCAGTTTATAATGTGATCGATGATGGAGAAGTACAGATTTATATTCTGGCCAAATAGGACGAGCTGTAAAGATCATCCACCCATGCAAGATCAGGAGCTTTGCGGGATGCTGATGGTCTTGTGTTTTTTCGCCAGAGAAAGATGCTTGCTTGCTGCCCCATTGCTTTCATTTGTGATCCTCGTGCTTATCTTCTGCTCTCTCATGTGCTGGGCAACTTTTGGATTTTTTATTTTTATTTTTATATGTGCGTGGCTGTCATGAAGAAAAAGATTGGTAATTAAGTAGCTTAAAAGAGCTTTCCTAATTCATCAGGATTTTGTCTTTTATATCCAGCAGACATTGATTTTTAGCTACCAAAGTCATGCTTTCATTTCAAGCACCGTCGTTCCATTGGATTTACTTAAATAATGTTTGGAAGTGGGTATCAATTAATTGCAGTTTGAAATGTTTTTTTTTTTTGGAAAATATATCAAAATATGTTTTTTTATTTTTTAAAAATTATTTTTTAATATTAACGTATCAAAATGATCTAAAAATAAATAAAAAATAATTAATTTTTTTTTAAACTTTTAAAAACTATAATTTCAACATCTTCCCCTACCTTATTTTCTTCAGCGGAAAAAGAAAAATATATTTAGATTTTAATTTTTGATCGACTGGAACGACGTTGCATGCATGACTTTGCTAACTAGAGTAAAGGTTAAAAAAAATTCCACATCACTTTGTTTTAGGTCCAAGGCATGGAGCTCTTGTTTTTAATTTAAAAGAAATTATATTATTATACTTTAGATCTGAAATATATTAAAAAAAAAGCATTAAGTAAACCATCTGGGATTTTTAAATTTGTTGCAATTAATTCTCTTAAATATCAAATTAATTAGTACTCCAATTTGGATAGATTTGTTTAATTATATGGAAAGTTGCAAAGAGTACGTAAATGGTTGGTCAATCAAGAGAAAGGAGGTAAGCGATTAGTATAATTAACAAACCTAATCAGTTAATATCGATGCGATTTATACATATTTCTTATCGATCCTGAAGACTGACTTAAATGTAAACTGCTTAAACCAACATCTAATTCCCTGCAAGAATTAAATGAATCAATAATTCCCTTTTCCCAGCCAAGCCTGGCTTCAAAATTTTACCAATTTTCTTCTTGAGAAAACACCGTTGACAAAATAATTTCCAAAAAAAAAAACTGAAAAACATTAGGGATATAACATAATTGGTTCTACTATATATTAAAAGTGGAATTAATAATCATTTAAAATTCATTGATAATGAATTTGTTTTGTTGAAATCTTTATAATGGTATCAATATTATTATAATTGGAGCTTTCACAAATAAATCTTGATAAAATTAATCTAATGATATAAAAAAAAGTTACTAGAAATGTTCCGAATATGATATATTTGCCATTCAAGAATAGCGGGTGACTCAATTGCTGTATAGGTGATTTATTTCATTTATTATTGATTATCTATTTTTGCATTGTTGAATATATTTTGTTGAGATTTTTTTTTATGATATTAATAATATAATGATTGAAGCTTTGATGTGTCTTTTATATTTTTTTTTATATAATTTATTTTATAAATTTTTTAAAATATTATATTTTTAAATAGTGACAAGTTTGGATATCAGTTTTCCAATCACTTCACATATAAACTATGCAAATTATTTTTAAAATTGTGTTAATTTGCTAATATATATATATATTTTTAAAAAATACTAAATCTTTTTATTTTTATTTTTTAAAAGAAGCAATGTTTTGCTGTGCCCATGGATCTCTGAATCCAAAATATTGCACTTGCCAACAACAACAGGACAGGCTACCGTACGTCCACACGGCAAAGTTCACCGGCCAGAAAGGAAAGAACCATACCAGCACACGGCTCTTAATGATGATTTGCCAGATAGAAAATCTTACCTTCCTAATAGCCCCATCAGCATGCAATTAACACTTAAGAATAATTGATTTTTCTATAAAGAAAAACCTTAGCTTCCTCCAACAACCCCATTAGCATGCAATTAACAATATTGATTCTCTCAGAAAGAAAAATCTCGCCTCCCTTTCCCTCTCTTATCCTCCTCATATTTATAAAAATGGTTGACTGTCGTGGAAAGGAAGCGTTTAGCAATACGACTTTACTTTACGTGTGTTTTAATATATTGATGTTAAAAATAAATTTAAAAAATAAAAAAATATTATTTTGATGTATTTCTAAATAAAAAATATTTTAAAAAATAATTACTACAATAATACTTGACAAACAATAATATTTTTTAAAGTTTTTTTATATAGAAATATATGGAAATAATATTTTACTTTTAAATACCAAACAACGGATTATAACTGATACATATGTATGGTTAATCAAAGTTCAGGAGGCTCTGGTAGAACACCACCTTTTGACCTGCTATAAACTCTGGGTTTCCCTATGAGTGAAGGGAAGTCTTTATCAACCTCAACCATAGATTCCTTATATGTATGAGTATTACCCTAAAAAAGAAAAAGAAAAAGAAAAAGAAAAAAACAGTTGGAGTTTTAATAAGAGTTGAAAGTTGAAAAACGTGGGAGAGCGCTTCGTCTTCACATATAGTGCGCTGAACCCATCCTTCGTTGTCCACTTTTGCATCAGTTCAAGGGTCATTTCTCTTACACATGACATCTGTGTCTCTAAATATCATGCAATATAAAAACTTCAAAAATAAAAAGAATCACTGTCCTACCAATGAGTCACAGTTGTCCTTTGAGTATAATATTTTCTTAATTACTTGTGGACTACCGGTTTGACATAAAACTCTATATTTTAGTGTCGACCCCCACTTTTTTGGCTATTAAAATATTTGCATGTTTGAGGCTGTCTTGTTCTGGTGCGTTTCAAATCTAGGCTGTGACTGGAGGTATGCTCAGTTTTGTTTATGTATTGAGCCTAATTTGCTTGTTCACTATTAATTTAGAGTCACTCCTCTTGATCAGCTTTCGTTCATAAACTTTATGAGATTGATGTGGGCCGGGGCTCACACCTCGGTTTGGATTTTATGATATGATTAAGGATCAGGAAAATTCCCAGTTGGATTTCCTCCAGGTTTGATTAGGATCTGGGGGCAATGCGTATTTCTTTTATGCTGTGTTTAACTGTCTCTTTAGTGGCCTACTTGCCTGTACGCTTGTAATTGTAATGACAGTAACATCAATTGATTTTAAGTGTGTTTTGTAGCACTGTATTGTTAAAGGAGAAAGTGACCTTTCGATATTCATAGAACTTGATTTTAGATATGTTGAATTTTCTATAATATCATGCTGGGATGTTTTGGTATTAGAAAATCTAAGACGTGTCGGTGGACCATTGAATTATTCTTATTTGGCAAGTTGAGATTGTGGATGGCTGTTAAATATGTGCACGCTTTTTCTGTCCTTTCTGTTTGATCCTGGTATGAATCTTCTTTATGTGATTGGCATCACAAGAAGCCTAACCTCAGGCCTTGTTGTTTTATAATGGTCTTTAAATCTTTTATTTTAATGCTAATCTCCTAGGATGGTGACAATCCCACGCCTGTTCCTGTTCCCTTTTGAAGGTCTTGTTTTTCTTCGAAAGTCTGCTATATAAATTGTTTTGCAAATCTTTGTCCTTGATTCAGAATGAGGACCAGGAGAGGGAAGCGAGCTGAGGTATGCTTAAATGCTCCTTGCCTTGGTACTGCTTTTATTTCTTTCTTTTTTTGTTTCTTTAGATGGTTCTGCTTCCGCATGTTGTTTATTTTGGAGAGTTGCATTTGTTTGCAGCCTTTCTGGCCTTCACTTGTGATGAAGAAATGGTTGAACATAAAGCCCAAGGTTTATGATTTTAGTGAAGATGAATACACTGAAACTGAGAGTGAAGATGACGGTATGGTGTTAGTGTTTACTTGTCATCATTCTTTATTAATTACTCTAACTACCACGTGCTTGATCATGTTCTGTCAATTTTTATACAGCGTCCCCTGTTAAAGATGAGAGAGTTAATGTGAATGAGGATCGTGCAAATAGGACACAGGGGAACCCATATGTGTTTCAGAGTCGAATTTCAGGCAACAATCCTTTTCTTTATCTGTTATTGAGCCTCCTTTTGTCATTTTCAATGCATTCAAGCTTAATAGCATATATTGTCTCTTGAATGTATCACTTGGTCCTATTGCCCGTCACCAGTTTCCCTTTTCATTAAGATTTTCAGAAATTTGAGCTACCCCAAGAGTAAGATTTCGAGGCTTACTTACAAAAGATTAAGCTTTCGAAGTATTTGTAATTGCCAGTCAGAAATTTGAGCTACCCCAAGAGTAACATTTCGAGGTTTACTTACAAAAGATTAAGCTTTCGAAGTATTTGTAATTGCGGGTCAGAAATTTGAGCTATACTGGTCATTCAAAGTCTCTCAACATTCTGCAACTCTCATCTCAGTGATGTTGCTTTTCTTTTCTTTCTTGTGTGTGAGCAAGGCACTTTTTGTGGTTTAAGATTCTGTTGCAACTTGTTATTGACAATTTGGTTTCTTGAATTTGGAAGAAAGTTGTTTTGTTATGGTTCTGCTGAAACATAAAGAAACAGTTGATTATATGCTTCCTAGTGGACTTGCGAATTATGGAAAGATCATTTTATCTCATCTGATTACATACAAGGCCAGTTTGTGATCATCTGTTGTTTTGATGTTTAATTGATCCAGATGCACCTTCCAAGGGCTATCCATCAAGACATAAGCGAGGGAAATCTGAAACTCTGCGTCTTCAATACATAAATATGAAGGATGTGAGGTTGGCTGTAATCTGCTTATTCTTTGAATATTAGGCTAGGGATTTTAATTATTAAGAATACAGTGTTAAACATTTTGTTATTGTAGGGTGACAATAGGTACCTGGAATGTTGCTGGAAGACTTCCATACGAGGATCTTGATATTGATGATTGGCTTTGTACAGAAGAACCAGCAGACATTTACATCATTGGGTCAGTATTTCATCGCTTTGTTTTCTCATCTTGATGACTGGACTTGTTGTAAGAATTTATATGTACACATATCCAATGCTTTTTTTTGTATCCGGAAATCTTTACAATCATTCTCTCTGTGTCTTCATGCATGCATATGCCCTACTTTGTTTGCAAATGTATTGCTTCTGTGTTCTCTGATCTGTTTGATTGCAATGTTCAGAAAATCTTTGGATATATTTGTTAAGAAATCCCGCAGAGGATTTTCCTTCTAGAGAATCAGATTATAAGTACATAACTAACAAGGCTGACTTTATTTCTTGTTATGGTCTACCCCTCAAAGAATCTGGCATCAATTGGTCTATGCACCCCAGATTAAGGAACTGATTGGAAATCTAAAGCTTTAATTGAATCATCTGCCATCCAAGCAGCATCTGGTTGTCATTTGTTTCTAGAGCATACACATGAAAAACTTAAGAAAAAATATGCTAACAACTCATTCTGTATTTCTGGGATTTGCTGTTTCTCAGCAAGTGGATGGCAGCTGGAAATCAGAGGGCCAGTTTTACATCTTGTAGCCCACACCTGATCAGTTCCTCAACCAGAATTATCCCAAAAAACCCATCCTAATAATTATCAGACCCCGGCTGCTTGGGTCCAGAATGTACAGTTTTAGAAGCTACTCCAAAAGCAGACATCCATTCCTATAATATTCTATGTGCTTGTTAACATTTGTATACAATAGATTTTAGCATTCTTTTTATTTTTTTCCTTGAACAGTTTCCAAGAGGTGGTCCCTCTGAATGCTGGGAATGTTCTGGGAGCAGAGAGTAACAGACCAATTACAAAATGGGAGGAAATCATTCGAAGGACTCTGAACAAATCGCTACAACCTGAAAGAAAATACAAGTGTTATAGTGCCCCTCCCTCACCAGTATTAAGAACTTCTTCAGTTGCTGATGAACTTGCAGATGAGGTTGATTCTCTACCATTAGAGATGATAAATGAGGAATATATAGAAGCTGCTGATGGTTGTGAATCTAACATACTGGAGTTTGGCAAAGCAATTGGTATAGGAAAGAATTTGCACTTAAAGAGAGTATATGGAATTGATTGTGAAAGTAGATTAGACTGGCCTGAACATTCATTGGCTGCCACCCCACAAGAAGTTATCTCTTCCAATTCCAAGTTACGGAGAGTATCGAGCAGTTCTGCAAGAACAGGCTTCAGTTGGACAGAGAATCCTTCATTATTTAGTCCTCGGAATATTGCTCTGAACAGGAGTGGACTGAAAAGATCTCACCACAGTTTTGGAAATTTAGGGTCAATGTGGGTGGAGCAACAACAGAGGCACAAGGTTCCTGAAGTCCCTGAAGTTATTGATTCTTTCTCCGAGGTCTCTGATTGGTTCTCTGAAGCAGAGGATGACACTTTCTTAGAAGTACCAAGCGATCAATGTTACAGTGAAATCATCAAAGAAAATGGCAAGCCACTCACTAAGTATGTGCGAATTGTTAGCAAGCAAATGGTAGGAATATATGTATCAATTTGGGTGCGCAAGAGGTTGAGGAGACATATAAACAATTTGGAGGTCTCTCCTGTAGGAGTTGGTCTTATGGGTTATATGGGAAACAAGGTACTGCCTGTTCATCCATTTTCTTTGTTCATCACAGTAGTTGACAAATATGTTTCATTTCTACATGCATTTATATGAAGTATTTAGACTTTTTCACCAGGATATTTTTGTGGAACTCAAGTATGTAGACAAAAGGACCACAAAATAAAAAAGAGAACGAATAAAGCATTGTCATAATTGCACAACATGCTAGTTGTAATTCCAATCATTGCAGCGGTGCAACATATCAGGTTGCATCATGCTATGGAGGCTACTGTCTTAATTTTACTATAATTGGGAGTAAATGTTTTATACATTGTTACCTTCTGTATGTTAGATGGGATGAGATCAGCACCTCCATATTGTGATGTAATGCTGGGGGATGGTTTCATGCTGAAAAATATTGCATGGAACATAGAGAAGATAACATTCGCATTGATCATAGTTGAACATGCTTTGCTTTGCCAGCATCTTATTAGAGGCTGCTGCTGATGCAGGGATCTGTTTCTGTTAGCATGTCTCTTTTCCAGTCAAGGCTGTGCTTTGTTTGTTCTCATCTGACCTCAGGTCAGAAGGACAGGGCTGAACAAAGGCGTAATGCTGATGTCTATGAAATTATACGACGTACCCATTTCTCATCTGTCACGGACGCCAATCAACCACAGACAATTCCATCTCATGAGTAAGCAACCTTTTGATATTAAACTTCAATATGCACCATGTTTCATGACTTTGCCTTTTTATTGTATTTCCAAATAATACTTCAGCAGAGAATACTGAATTGCTCAAGTACTAAGCATCTTTATGTCAATTCATTCCATGAATAAATTTGTGTGATGCATGTCTGGATGCTGTGTGTTATTCATAGCACTCAGCAGACATCTTGTCTTCTCATGGATTATCTTTCCTAGCTGGTTACAATATGGGTTGCCTTGAGCTCCATACTCATGCTCAATAGTTTTCATGATTTGCCTAGGAAATTAAACTGGTTGGAGTAACCTAGGAATTTGATGTATATTCCCGTTTTATAATTGTAGTGTGATTTCATTGAGAAACCTAGTTGCTGAAAATAAATAACTCAACTGCACCAGAGTGCTATACTTGCGCCTTTTCTGGTCCTTTTGTAGGTATCAAGACATTTACTTACAAGAACATAAAATGCACACGAGTTGTTTCAGTGTAAATTTTCTTAAAGTTATCATGTAATGACAAATTCGTGTCGATTTATGATAGTGACTGGATGTGTTATCAATGACTTCAAATCTTTTTTCCTTTTGTGACTGTTCTCTATAATTTACCTGGTCAATGTATTTATAATTGGGTGCTTCTGTACAGTCAGATATTCTGGTTTGGGGATTTGAATTATCGTCTGAATATGTTGGACACAGAGGTCAGGAAGCTTGTTGCTCTGAAGAAATGGGATCAGCTTATCAACAGTGATCAGGTGAGACATAAACAATCAAGTTTCCACTGCCTTCTGGAATTGTTTCAGCCTCTTTAAGCAGTGACACGTTTTTTTTCCTGAGAAGCATGTTGTTCTAAGATCTAGATATAATGTGGATCATAAGAGAGTGATTTAACTTTCACCCTTCCTGTAATAACAATGAGAAAACTCACCAAATCACTTGACGAGGAAACTATTGCTTTCGGAATTATTGGATCTGTAACTGTAAATGTTCTAATAGAAGATTTATATTAGAGTTTTGAAAGATGGTACAGGGCTTATCTTTGAAGGAGACATTTGTAGTATTCTAACTGGTTAAGTTTTCTGGATAGATCTAAACCAACTGTGATGAAACATGTCAGGAATAGCTTCCTCACACATTGATTTGTACTTTTAGAAGTGATAGCTTTCTCACGTTTGAGTAATGTAATGGTTTGCCCTTTCTGCAAATAATGCTCTCTATTTTCCTCTAAGCAGCATCTTGCTTGCTTTTTTTTTTTTTTTTGGAGGAACTGTTAAAGATTCATCTTGTTTGGCAGCTAAGCAAAGAACTTCGCAGTGGGCATGTATTTGAAGGATGGAAAGAGGGAGTGATAAGCTTTCCACCGACTTACAAATATGAAATAAACTCTGATAGATATGTTGGGGAGAACCCTAAAGAAGGCGAGAAGAAGAGATCTCCGGCATGGTAAGTACAGGTTATTTTGATATAGCAGTTTGCCTTTGTTTTCTTATTTCCTATAATCATAGTAAAGAAAAAGAGACTGGTAGGAAGAAATCCAAGATTTCTGGTAAAACAATTTTCCTTTTCTCTTAGTTTGGATGGTTCAAAAAGTAAATCAATCTAACATTTGAATGATCATGGTCACCTAACTATGTAGTTGACATCATATGCAGGTGTGATCGAATACTTTGGTTTGGAAAAGGTATAAAACATCTTTCTTACAAGCAGTCAGAATTAAGGCTCTCGGATCATCGACCAGTCAGTTCAATGTTCCTGGTTGAAGTTGAAGTCTTTGATCATCGAAAGCTGCAAAAAGCACTCAATGTCAATAGTGCGGCAGTGCATCCTGAGATTTTCCTCGATTAATGAGGGAATTATAGTAGATAGAAGGTAACTATATAATGGTTTATAGGTTAGATTGGTACTGATTTACATGAGAGTTTTAAGGCTTAATTGTGACCATGCTGGTTTTTTGTTTTCCTTGGAAGGTATGCTAACTTCGCTGTCATATTCTTTCGAGCAGGGAGTTGCTGATCAATCTAACAAGCTGAAGATATAAATAAACTTCGATTTAATTGGAACACCAACAATGATGAGCCTATATTATACATGCAAGAAAAACAAAAGCTTTTTTGAATTTTTTGAAGATGATAGCAGGAACAGACGTAGTTGTCTGGGTCTTGCTTTTTAGGAATGGAATGTGGAGAGCTGAAATGATGGGGTTAACCCCAACCACCACCCCCTCCCCCATTTTTCTAGAGAACCTCCAAAGTATATCCTCTTAGTTTGGTTCGTTGCTAATGTACATTAAACTGTAAAAATTAGGTGTTCTGTATTTTGCAATTGAAATTTTGGAGTCAGTCAGTGGACATCGCGTGATTAATTCATGACAAAACTTACGATCGCAATTTCTTTTGTTCATGTTTTTCACTCTTCCTTTCTGTTTTATTCTGAAAGCGGAATACCACTGAGACAACAGTTTAACGAACAAATCTCATTAAATTTCAAGCTCGCTCAAATTATGCAAGGCTGGGATGTCAGCAACATAGCAATTCATCTGTTAATTGAATGTCCAAGTTAGCTCAAATTTTGGCAAAACGAAGTTGAGAGAAGCATTCAAGACAAAGACAGGTAATTCTGGATCGTTTATTTTCTGTCTCTCGTTCGTGTCAGATTGTTAAATTTCTTTCGTGATGCACAGTTTTATCCTTGAGAAAAAAACATGGCCTCCCCAATGTAGATTGAAGCCAGTCAACTGAGCGATCCAGAATCAAATCTTTGCCTTACATCAGGAATGAGAAAGAGGAAGGGTATGTTAAGCAGTCCAAAATGAAATGGACTTTCTGATGAAGCCACCATTTAAAACACAATAATAAACGAACACCTGTTCCTCTATATCTTAATTAATGATGCAAAATGATAGTCATCAACAACCTCATTAAATTTTATTCTGATAAAGCGTATCGTAATTGAAAAAAAGCTACTACTATTTTACAAGAATTAAATATTGTCTCTCGAAAATGAAAGCATACGATGCTCGATTAAATTAAAAGGTTAGCCTTGACATGGCCAATGTATTCCTTCAAGAAAGTAATCACGTCCCAGAGGAAAACAAAGCTATGAAGTTAGGTTGAATTAGTTGTATCAACTTTGATTTAGGAGATAGCAAAAGAATCCCTTTACTACTTTATTAGGATAAAGTTGGTTTGAAAACATTAGAAGGAACATGGAGAACGGTACAAGGAAACGTCATTATCACCTAAGCTTGTTCCTACAAGTAGGAAATGGTGGCCCAACATTAAGCAATCTTAAACCAAACCATCTTTCTGGTGCGCATGTGATTTCTCAATGAATCCGTTTACAATGGTCTTTATCACTTTACTGGTTTTGGTCTTGCAAAGCTTGTCGACCTTTGGTGATGAACAACTTTTAGTCCGTGACTATTACAAGGAAACATGCCCTATGGTTGAAGAGATTGTTAGGTATAATCTTCAGTTTGCCGTGCTTAAAAATCCAAGAATGGCCGCCTCTCTGCTTCGCTTGCATTTTCATGATTGCTTCGTTATGGTCAGGCCTCTCGTTTTCTCTAATTCTGTTTCTGTGTTTCCTCGTAATGAATATTGCACTCCCCTTTCTTGCTGTTTTTCTTTTCGGAAAAATAAATAAATAAAGAATTGCTAGAGAACTGAATAGTACTTTCTAACAGATAATTCTCATTAATTTTGTAGCATCATCATTCTTTCTATCACAAATTCACAATTCCAAGTCTTAAATTCACCAATCCTGATTGGTTCTGGTATTAATCAGGGATGCGATGCATCGGTTCTTCTAGACAGCTATGGAGGCATGGTCAGTGAAAAGCAGGCAGGGCCTAACGTGAACTCATTGCATGGATTCGAAGTCATTGATAGGATCAAGTATCAATTGGAAGAAGCATGCCCTCTCGTAGTCTCATGTGCTGATATCTTAGCCATTGCTGCTCGTGATGCTGTTGCAGTGGTAAATGTGCATACACACACACACACACACACACACACACACCTCTCTTTCTGACTTTCATCTCACTACTGTCTCATTATATATAAGCTCCATTACAAGGTGGCTTCAATAACATAAATGTTAAGAAAGCTGGTCGTGTCGTATGTCAAATGATTAATTCCTTGATGACATTTGGGATCAAGTAATATATGTAGTTTCTAATTTTCCTTTTACTTTGGAAGAGAGGTGGCCCAGGTTGGGAGGTTTATCTAGGCAGAAAGGACTCCCTCAAGGCAAGTTTTGATGGTGCCAATCAGTTTATACCCGCACCAAATTCCTCTCTGGAGACTCTCATTGCCAATTTTAAACAACAGGGTCTTGACATAGGAGACTTGGTTGCTTTATCAGGTAAAATCCACAACAATATCTCATGTTAATAATTACTAATTTACTTATAAATCTTAAAAGAAAAACACCACTAAACACGTAGGTTGTAATGACATATAGTGCTTGCCCATAAGCGTCTTGATTTCACAGGTAGCCACACAATGGGAAAGGCAAGATGCTTAAGTTTTAGGCAACATATACACGATGAGAGTGCTGAAGAACATTACGATAAATACAAGAGATACACCCCCTTTCGAAGAATCCTACGGTCCATATGTCCAAAAACAGGAAAAGACAATCAATTGGCTCCGCTTGATTTTGAAACCCCGGCTAGATTTGACAACCACTATTTCCTCAACATTCTTGAAGGAAGAGGCTTGCTGGGGTCCGATAACGTGTTGGTGACGGAAGATCATGAGGGGGAGATAAGAAAGCAAGTGTGGGCTTATGCCGCTGATCAAGAGCTTTTCTTTGCATCGTTTGCCAATTCTATGATAAAGATGGGGAATATTAACGTACTTTATGGGAATGAAGGAGAGGTCAGGAAGAATTGTAGGTTTGTCAACACCTAACAAGTTTCTCATTCTGGACGAGTTAAATTGTGGATCTTGGTTACTTAATTTATGGACTATTGGATTACCTCTACTCTTCTGTGATTTGATTTGGAGATGTTTAATATGATTGTTGTTGCTCTAGAATAGTTGAACAGCAGTTTTGAGCGATATCACAATGATGTGTAGAGAGAGAGAGAGAGAGAGGAAATTTAAATCCAAAATGATAGCTTTTACGTGCACAAGATTTTGGCTTAGATTATTTTAGGGACAAGAAATTATCAAATGGTGACGCCTCAAAGACTTTGGAACAGTACCTCTGATGGCCAAAGTCCAAACTAAGTTATAAACCCTGCATAAAAGAGAAGGAGAAAATGTTGAATTTTTAAAATAGATGAATCTAAATTAAAAATGCATTAATAAACAGGGACTGAATTAATTTATTGTTAAGAATATGATCCTTAGAGAAGGGCAGTCTCAAAAATGGAGAAGGTTTACAGAATTGCAGTCCATATACAGAGACCATTATTTAGATAGAAACCAGAAAATGCATCCCTTACCTCCTACCATGAATTCTCCATAACATAAATGAAGATTTTCCGATCAATTGCAGGCATCGATACACTATTTTTCCTCTTCTTCTTATGAATAATACTACAATGCTTATTCTAATAAATAAGAGTCGGTCAGTAGTGCCATACAATAATATAATTCGCGCCACTTAAAAGCCATGCCATTCCAAACAAAGATAGTTGTTCTTTCATTCCTGGTTCGGTCAAGAGCATAGATAATTAATATGATTCGCTACCATGCCCGTCTGCATAATTCCTTAGCAGGCAATCGATTTTTCAAAGTAATATTAAAACAGTAGATCCAGCTGCTGCAGGCGTCTTGCCCGGCAACCTTCGTGCATGGCGTGCATCTCTGTGGACTCTGCTTACCACACTTGAACTCAACGTGCTTGTGTCTAGACAATATACGCTAAGACCTGTTTTTTACCTGTGACTATCTTCATCCACGCCCTAAACATATATTTTCAGTGAAAATAAAGCAAAAGGTTAGCATATTGAAGACCTGATATATAAGATATGGAGTAGCTGATGTAAGAAAACTTTCATATGCTAAGCATATAAATGTGTAATGGAAAATTAATTGGATATATACCTTATTGATTAAGAATTGAAGCAATTACTCAAAAAGCTTTTTATTGCAAAAAATAAAGAGTTCTAATATATATGTCAAGCTTTATGATTAATACATGTAGATAGAAGATACAGTATTTTTATTGTTAATCTTTTTTTGGCCACACTAGAGATACTTCATATTTAACTTGACTTTTACACTTCCATCCATCAATCAGATTGCTTCACTCACTACTAAAATCCAATGGACTCTAAACTTTAATTATTATTTAATTTAAAATCTACATAACGTAAACGAGTCACCCAAATAGTATTTTTCTGCAACTGACGGATTTATGACTTGGTGGTTGTATGAACAAGAACCTCGGATAAGCACTCATCAGAACTTCAAAGAGCAGCCCTATCTTTGCCGAGATCGATGGCCGTGAACTTGGGAGTTGATTCAGACGAGCTTGCAAAACTATATAAATAAGAAGTACAAGGGATAAGATGAATTATCACCCATATTGTGAGCAGGCAAAAAAGGTGATGCGTCTCACACCGCTCTCTGATGCAACTGGATTGACCTTGTTAAAGAAAATGAAGTACAGGGTTCACAAATAAAAAAAATGGTAAATGGGTACCAATTAAACCCTTTCCGGGTGCATTTATAGCCAATGTTTGTGGTATCATTGAGGTGAGATAGCGTATGTTTGAGCTGTTGCCATGTTATATAAATGAATATTTTGCACTCCAGTCGGTCATTTGAAAGCAGACAACGATGAGTCGATGACTGAGGACTATGAGATCATAGAGGCACAGAGCTGTTGTGAACCCAGGAAGAGATGACTTTCAGTCCAATTATGGAGGCCTTGGCAGGACCTTTGCCAGAACTTGTCAAGGAGAAGGGAGCGGAATACATTAGGCTTGTTATTACAAGCAAACTTGATGGAGGAGAGGCTTACTAGGTCACATGAAACTGGGGGAGTAAAATAGTTTTGCAAGATAAATTTTATTTAGAAGCTCTGCCTACCGGTGATAGATAGGGTTGCTTGAGCTCTTCCCAGCTTCATTCCATTCAGTTCTAAAACCCATAAATTTCTTTTAGTATAAAACTTATGCAAAGGATAACACTAAACCTGGGACAACATTCTTGATCTACTTGTCAGTTTTTCGGAGGTAGCTCCAAACCCTAAACTGCTTCGGACGTCTTCTGTTTCACATGATGGACCTTTGCATACTCTCGCTTAAAAATTAAAGAGCTGCAGACCATCTCATGTAACAAGACATCATTTCTACTACAACATTATAAATGGTACAAAATCGGTTCCGAGTCAAAATATTTTCAAGAGTAATATCTTTCATATTTTCAAATTAATACAAATCATGCACAGGCATAGCTCAGGTCACACTGTTCTACCAAACATAATCACCATCTTCTACTGGGATTCTGAAATGCAAGGCGCAAGCTTTCAATCTTCTACTTTTCCCAGTCAATTTCGGATGCCAACAGTTCACATGTGGTCACTCCTGCACCAGGCTCTTTCATTTTTTTCTTCATTTTTTACTTCAGCACCATGCCTTCTCATGATTTGAAGATAGCTTCTAATAACATGTTCAGCTTATTCATGCCCGGCATTATTAACTGCATAATGACATTCATTCTTGCAATCACGCTCCAACAAGCTTGAGAAATTATTAGTAATCGGAACCTGTCCCGTATGAACATTACAGTGCAACTTGGCCTAATTAATTAACATTCTAACCTAATTTTAACCCGCATAATTAGCCATAAGAACAATAAAATTGTTGATTTACATAGCTGGACAATATGATTGTACAATTTAGCAGCTCCAATTAAGCGGTGGTTGCAACAAACAGTTTCGCGCAAAAGGTACATCCTGATTCATCAAATCAATAAAGCATAGTAATTCAAATGGCAATGGAAGAATCGACACGAACAAACAAGATAAACAATGGCATTGGGACTCCAAGGTGTTAAGGCATCAATTATATTCAGATGCAAATTACCCATTAAAACGCATGATTCATCTGCCCCTAATAAAGAAAAGCTTCTTTACACAAATTGACAAAAAAATTAAGCTGCAAAAAACTCGATACTCTAAAACCACCCAGTTAAGACAAATTTTTCATTTGCGACAACAAGAAATCAAGAACGGAGGATGTGTTGGTCCATCGATGACCTTTCTCTCAGAACTGGGCCCCATGCATTTGACAGCACAACCTGCTGCTCCCCTCAATAATCATCGCCCTACTCATTCCCTTCTCCATATGTAAAAAAGGAATTACGAAAAAATTTGATGACTGCTCATGGACTCCCTAAACTACATAGATAATGGAATGGAATAGAATTCATTCTTATGAACCCAAAACAATGAATGTACAGAGAAATCGCACTAACCAGTCGACAATTAATTGACTTATTAAAACCTTTGCTTATAGAGATTCAAGTCCACCCCTTCTTTCACAAGAAGCCAACGTTGAATAGATGGTTCTTTAAACAATCAAATTAATTCCGGCTGTGGTAAATTAACAAGGCCAAAACATTCGACTTGGTAGAACATGTATATAGGTTTCACAATCCTTGACATTGAAATAAGTTTAGGCTTTTTAAACTGATCGAACCCCGTCAAAATCAATAAATCGAGCCCTAATTCCACCCACCTACACAACTGTCTTTTCACATGGTATGTTCATATCAGGATAGCACCTGAAAGCAAATAAATCAAAAGAGATACATTGTAACAGAGGTCGATGCCATAACTAAGAAAGCACACACACACACACACACACACAAGACAACCCAATAATACTAGAAAGCGGCTCATATCAAGGGAGCAATTCTGCAATTCAATAATTACAAGAAGCCAACAATGCTGAAAAGAAATAGGGATAAAAATTCAACAAAAAAATCATATGATCCCTTGATCCTCGTATATATTAAAAAGCAACTGATAACATCTAAATATCGTTCAGAAGTTAGAGAAAAAATAAAAGGGAAATGAAGAGGAAGGCATCAGGTCTCCAAGGTGTATAGCATCAAGAAAAATTCAGACGCAAATTACCCATTAAAACATGAGATTCATCATATGCCCCAAAACAAGGAACTACAGAAACGAAAACATGACAAGACTCCAACTTTAATCTCTCCAAAACAAAACCCATTATCAGGCAAATAATGTAGAAGCCTATCAAGATAAATATGAATTGGTTATTGAGATTATTAAAAAGATAGAAAGCGATCAGAACCTGTCGGGATTCATACTAACATCACAGTTACTAAGTCAGTGGATTGACAGACATGAATTTCTATCTTCACCTCGCTTTCTATCATCAACAAATAAAAAACACAGATAAATATATGTATATATACACAAAAGGGTAAGCTCAGAACTTCTTAGAGGTTTGTGCAGCCGTCAAAGACGGCCTCAACTGAGACCGTCTCCGGAACACAGAGAATTTCATCACAGCTGGATTTTCTAAAACTACGAAATGAAAAACACAGATAGAATGAGGAGCAGAAAACGTGGAGCTGTCAAAAAGGACTTCGAAGAAAATTAGAGCATAGGAAAGCTAAATAGTGCTTAGGGAAAAAAAGCGACGTGCTGGTGACTGGGGGAGAGTGAGGATTTTTATAGATAGAACAGGTGGCTGAAGAAGCCGAAAACAAAAGGAAACGCAAACCCTAATTCCTCACGTCACGTGACAGTACGTGACTAAAATACTTGTAAACTCAATTGCTATATATATATATATATTTATATATATATATATATATATATATAT